AAAAAAAAAAAAAAAAAAAAAAAAAAATACTGCATGAACACACTATGTGCCTTGATTATGGAGTGCTTTGCTGCCCCTTGCATTTTGTGCTCGAGGTGATACCTCTCTCCTAGTCCTGGCCCTGGTGGCCACAGGGTACAAGGGCCCTGCCGTGGAATATGCACAGGATGGAATAGGCACAGAGGGGTGGCGGGGGACCAGGAGGGGCGTACCGGGTCTGACCGCTGGGCTCCTTTGGGGACAGGGGATAGGGCCCGGGTGAAGGATGGCTCTGAAGATGCAGAGTGCTGCTGGGACCGGAAGAGAAGGGGGAGAAAGGAGGGAGAGAGAGGTTGAGGGGGGAGGAGAGGGAGAGAGGGGTGCCCCACAGGAAGGGGCTGGTGACAAGCGTTTGGGGGGCAGTGAGAGGAGCTGGGATGAGAAGAGAGACCCCGGGGGACCGGGCCCCAAAATCACGTGACTGGTCCAGGCAGGGCTGCATCCGGTGCGTGGTGGGGTGGGTGACACCTGGTTTCTGGGCTCAGCTCTAAGGGCAGGATGAGCTTGGGTGAGGCACTGCGCCCTCGGGGCCCCCGTTTACCCTGGAGAAATGACACTCATAGTCCTTTCCTCCTGGGGTCCTCGGCAGCAGGGGCCCTTGGTGTCATGTGACACAGTGTGACATACATGCAGGTGGCGGCAGGAAGTCCATCGCTCCAGGCCTCAGCTCCCTGGCTGGCTTCTAGCTCTGCTGCACATGTGCTGTGTGACCTTGGGCCGGTGGCCCACCACCTCTCTGGGCCCCTGTTCCAGCGGGGCTGTGTTAGCAAAACTCCCTGACACCTTTGTGTTCACCACACACACACCAGGACCTAGTCTGGGGTTTGCACACACCAGGAGCCGTGACGGCCGAGGAGCAGAGCTGACCCTGGTTGTCCCTCTGGCACAGGCTGCAACTTTCCCCAGCAGCCCTGCCTGCTGTCTCCACTTCTCCATCCCAGGGCTCTGGCCTGCAGCCTCCCGGTGGTTTTGGTGGGTGTGTAAACAGAGGCAGACAGACACACTCCAGGGTCAGAGACTCCCACCCGGAGCATGGTGGGGCAGGGCGAGGCTGAGGCTCAGGGTCCGGAGGGAGAGCCTGGGAAGGAAGTGGGCTCCGGGCACCCCCATCTCTGGGTCTGGTCGATCTTTCCTCCCAACCTGCCCCGCTGCCCCCACTGGCCCTGACCCCTTTTCCGGATTTGGAAAGTTTGCTGATATGGGAGAATTGTGGGCGGGACATGGACTTTCTTCCCTGTCGCCTGTTTACCTGACAGCAGATGAGCAGAAGTCAAATGTGTTGAGTTGCTTCTAGAAAGCTCGACTAAGACAAAGACTGATAATGTCACAGGCAGACAAAGGGGCAAAGGTTAGAGGAGCCACAGAGAAAGAGCAAAGAAGGGCCTTTGCAGGTTGACTCTTGGGGGACTGGCTCTCTTGGACTCCACTGGGTGCCCCGATTCCTTTAGACCTGCCCCGACCCCTTCTTGGCCATGACTTAGAATATTAAGCACCAGAAGTGTGAGCTTCCTCATTCTGATGTGCTGAAAGTAGGGCTCAGATGCAGCAAATAAAAATATGGGCACCCAGGGCTTCCCTGGTGGCGCAGTGGTTGAGAGTCCGCCTGCCGATGCAGGGGACACGGGTTCGTGACCCGGTCCGGGAGGATCCCACATGCCGCAGAGCGGCTGGGCCCGTGAGCCATGGCCGCTGAGCCTGCGCGTCTGGAGCCTGTGCTCCGCAACGGGAGAGGCCGCAACAGTGAGAGGCCCGCGTACCGCAAGAAAAAAAAAAAAAAAAAATATATGGGCACCCAGGTAACTTCCGGAATTTCAGATAGACAAGAAATAAACTTTGAGTATGTCCCATGCAATATTTGGGATAACTTATGCTAAAAAAATTTTTTTCATTGTTTATCTGAAATTCAAAGCTACCTGGGCAGCCTGCACTTCATCTGGCAAATCTAGCCATAAGTGTAAAATATACGCTAGATTTCAAATGGTTAGCAAAAACAGAAAGCAACTAAAAAAGAAAAGGCAAAATGGCTCAATAATTTTTATATGGATTCCAGGTTGAGATGAAAATCGTGAAAATATTTTGGACATCTTGGGTTAAGTGACATAGATTATTAAAATTAGCATCACCCGCCTCCTTGTTTAACGAGGCTTTTGGAAAACTCACAGTTACACACACGACTCTCGTTTGGCTTGTGCGGGACGCTTGCACCAGCGGCTCGTGCAAACGGGGATGTTCTGGGACATTCCCGGGTTTAGCACCAAAAGCCCCGCCACGTCCCAGGAGCCCCTCAGTTCCAGGTGAACCAGGATGGCTGGTCACCCTGGGCCATTGCAAGCAGCTGGGCACCTTGCTTCTGAGCCTCACTTTCCCCCTCCGTGCCCTGTAGCGCCAGCACGGGGCTGGCAAGGTGGTAACCACCACTGGTCCGTGCAGCTGAGGGCAGGGGCCTGGCTCACGGGAGGAGCCCACACAGCAGCCTGTGCTTGGTGTGCAGCCCCCTGCCCCCCAGGCTCCCCCCAACCTCCCCTGCAGGTGCTGGGGAGCTGGGGAACCAGGGGAAGCGAGGGGAGGGGTAGCCTCAGGGTGCTTCCCCGGGGATCCTGAAACAGCCCTCACACCAAGCCCACCGCTCCTCCCTCCCTAAGAAACCCCAGGACGGGGACTTCCCTGGGGGCGCAGTGGTTAAGAATCTACCTGCCAATGCAGTGGACATGGGTTTGAGCCCTGGTCCGGGAAGAACCCACATGCTGTGGAGCAACTAAGCCTGTGTGCCACAACTACTGAGCCTGCGCTCTAGAGCTCACGAGCTACAACCACTGAAGCCCGCGCGCCTACAGCCCATGCTCCACAGC